CAGTGGCGGGCTGCGTGAATGGATCCGGGCGCCGCGCTGCAGAGGCGGCCCGCGGGCGGCGGCGGCCTGGGCGCGGGCTCCCCGGCGCTGTCGGGCGGCCAGTCCCGGCGGAGGAAGCAGCCCCCCAGGCCGGCCGACTTCAAGCTGCAGGTCATCATCATCGGCTCCCGCGGCGTGGGCAAGACCAGCCTGATGGAGCGCTTTACCGACGACACCTTCTGCGAGGCCTGCAAGTCCACCGTGGGTAAGGCTGGCCGGCCGGGCCGTGCATGCGGGGTTGGCCCCGGGGAGACCCTGCCACCTCTGCCCCGCGCCGGGTGGAGACCCCCGTCCCCACGCAGAGTCGTCCTGCGCCCCCGCCCTGCGCCGTCACGAGGCCGGGTGATGCGCGGGGCCCGTCCAGCCCGGAGCTTCTCTCCCCGGAAACCCCCCGCCCACCCGTTACCAGGAAAAAGGTGGTGACAGGTGGGGGGCAGGTGGGCAGCGTGGTGGACTCGAGCTGTGCCCTGGCTAGATGGCCAGAGTGCGTCATGTCTGGTGAATTTTGATGCCCTAACTTTGCCGTCCTAGGAGTAGGGGTATTTCCACTGTCAACCCGGCTTATTTTCTAATTTTGAACTCACTTTTATGTTGCGCTGAAATAATGACGTTTTAAATTCCCTGTGGAGGATCTCCGGGGAATATTCAAACTAACGCTACACTAAGTTTCTTCTTTTAACTGTAAATGCGGGGCAAAAGGACTTCAGCTGTGTTTGTCCGTGACCTCAAATAACCCCCCAGGGGCTCCGAAAGTGGGGAGGAGGCCTCCGGCACCGCCAGGTGCGTGACGTATAGCGAAGTAACTACAGGACCAACCGGGTCAGGAAGTATCGTGTCCTCAGGATGTAAAATTGAAACTGCAGGGAAGTTTTCTGATGAAGTCACATGGACAGGCCTTGGCGTTGAGGTCTGTCAGGTCGCAGTCGGTAACAGCTGCCTCTATGGAAAACCCCTTAAAGGCTGTCAAAGGTAGGGGAACCCCGCAGATGAGATAGTTCTTCCAAAGGAAGATCAGTCACCTTCAGTAATAGGGAGGGATTCCCCTAGGGGAGGTCCAAGAAACAGTGAATAAATGGTATGTAAATATGAAACTCAGAATTTAAAGTATCATTCCAAACACTTGTACAAATATTTAGTATTGTAACCAGTGGTAGTTCCAAGGTGATACAATTTGGGGATGAACTGGCTTTAAGTTGTCATGTAACAAAACACTGCTACATTTCAAATGTCTTATTGGAAGACTAACCTCCCAGTTTTTGTATTGTCTTTTTGTTTTGTTTGTGAGAATGTGTTTCCCTTCATGCTTTTTTTTATAATAGATCATTTTGGACATATTTGTGCTCTCTGTACCCTGTGTGTTTTTAAGATCTTGGCCTTGGAGTCATGACATTAAAGTTCAGTAGCGTACCTTAGACCTGGTTCAGACATCCAATCTTGGATCATATAAAGTACAGGGAGTTATTAAACCATCCAACGAGGGTTTATACTGTTATTTTAGTACCTGGCATAAGTGAAACAGAACTAAAAGCAATTCAGAATTATCCATCTTTTATGGCTCCACGCTTAAAAATATGTGAAAATGAAGAGTAACATAGCTGTACTAGGCGAAGAGAAACTAGCACAGAAATAATGGGTGGATAACAGGGCTTGGGTGGCTGGAGGGCAAGATGGGGGATGAGCACAGGTGTGCTTAGAACTGGGCAGAGGAGAGGTGAGGAGGGGTTTTTTAAGCCGGGGCCGCAGTGGACCAACACCCGCACAGTCTGGGAAGGCATCATTAGGGGACATCGGGAATGATGTCCCAGGCCATGGAGTGTGCACCTTCTCCTGTAGCAGCAGGAGTCATAAAGGCCTCTGGGTACAGCCCTGGCAGGGTTGCATCGGGTATTTGGGAATCGGGAAGAAACCGGGAGGCGAGGGGACCAGGCAGTCGGTTTCTCTGTCCCCTTAACAAACAAGCATAAATGCACACGCCTCCCCACACCACTGCTGTTGTGGGGCTCCCTGTGAACTTGGACTTTGTCTTGGTCCTGTTTGTTTCCTCCATACGTAGCCTGTAGTACTCGGCTTGATAAGTGTTTATTAGCTGTGGGAAGTTCAGAGAAAGATGCTAACTTCTGGTCTGGCCCAGAGTGTGAGAACACTTTAAGAAGGTTAACCCCCCTTCAGTCTCTGCCTGTGAGCTGCTTTTCCCTTCCACTTACCAGATCACTTACTGAGCACCTACTGTGTGCTGGTGCTGTGCCACCCAGGGGGGCTTGAGTGAAGAGGACAAAGTCTCTGTCCAGATGTGGCTCAGAGCCGTGGGGCTCGGGATGCCCCAGGGTGATGAGGGCAATGTAGAGATGTGTACAGGCTGGGGAGCGTGGAGGAAGCCCCCCCAGTCGGGGTGGGATGAGAGCTGAAGGGGGAGGCTTCCTCTGCACTGGAATGCTGTAGAGATGAAGTTCATTCCCCGCGTTCCTTTAGAAAAGCGCATTTAAATGTGGCGCTGGGTGTGCTGTACAGTTGGGGTTGCCTCACCTGAATGCCTCCCGCAGGTGGCTTGTAGGGTCCCTCTGAGGCCAGTTGTTGAGTTTCGTGTCCACGGAGCACAGTCAGCTCTGCAGATTCTGCTCCGCGGGGCCCCTTGCCCTCACCCTGTATGGCTGGCAGAGTCTGGAAAAGACCGTGCGCCCCGCAGCCCGGCACAGGTGCTGACCCAGGAGGGTCGCTCCAGTAATGGCTTAGCCAACCTCAGGCTGGAAGCACGCATCTCCAGTGAGTCAGACCCACTGGACTTTCTGTAAAAGATCGTAGCAGATATCCTGAGGAATTTGAGGTAATAAACCTATTTTGTAAAGTTACAAATGAACAAAATGATTTTTTTGTTGTTGTATTATTAATCAAATCAAAAGTTGATTTGGTTTACAAGACACACAGAACTCACCAGGGTATGAAACTGAAAAGACTGTTTTTAATAATTGACGTATTGGGACTTCCCTGGTGGCACAGTGGTTAAGAATCCGCCTGCCAAGGCAGGGGACATGGGTTCGAGCCCTGGTCCGGGAAGATCCCACATGCCGCAGAGCAGCTAAGCCCATGTGCCACAACTACTGAGCCTGCACTCTAGAGCCCGTGAGCCACAACTGCTGAGCCTGTGAGCCACAACTACTGAGCCCACATGCCACAACTACTGAAGCCCACAGCACCCTAGAGCCCATGTTCTGCAACAAGAGAAGCCACCGCAATGAGAAGCCCGCGCACCACAACAAAGAGTAGCCCCCGCTCACCACAACTAGAGAAAGCCTGTGTGTGCATGGCAACGAAGACCCAACGCAGCCATAGATAAATAGATAGATAAATAAATAAATAATTGGTCTATTTAATGGAAATTGTCTAGGTGGAGTATTACTTTCAAATGGGATTTTGTGTTCGTGGAATTGAGTTACTTGGTCTGATATGGCTGGCATGGTTTGACAGGGGCTTTAAAAGCCTCAGGAACAGCTTTTTGAAGTTTTAAAAATGGAAAAAAAACTAGTTGACTAGAAATTCACAAGTCTCTAAAAAAAAAAAAAGCTCATAAAATTATGTATCTGTCAACCTTTGTTTTTTAACTATTGGAAGCTGTTAAGCTTGTTTGGATCGAAATATTTTTATCAGGCAGCACCCTGCCTCCACCCACCCAGCAGCATTAAATTTCTAGAAAAACATTCTAGAAAACCTGGGCTCTTGATATAAGCTTTGCCATAAACTAGTTTGTGACTTTGGATAAGTAATTTATTGTCTTTGCATGTAAAAGTTTACGGCCTATTAGTGGTAGCTACATTTCTTGAGCATGTACTGTGTACCAGCAAGAGTATACTCTTTCTAAACCTCACAACAATCCTGAAAGTTTCCCCATTTTACAGATGAGGAAGCAGAGTCCCAGAGGGTAGACAATTCATCCACAGTGGCCCAGCGGTCAGCAAGTGGTCAGGGCCAGGGCTGCAAGTGAGTTCCTTTTGTCTGTCTGTTCCTTAGCTTACTTTGAGATTTAAATTCACTTTATTCTGAAAATTTGGATGGCTCAGAATCAGACACCATGAAACCCTTTCCTACCTGCCTAATTTGGTCCCCCTGAGAGCCCTGTGAAGGTAGTGATGTCATCGACCTATGGTATCATTGACATTGACTTTCTTTAACTATGCCCCTATCATTTGTCACTTTCCTCTGGATATTAAATACTGCTCTGAAAATTGCATTTCTTACCCAAATATTCAATTATTCAAATATCTTAAGCCTTTTACGTATTTATTAAAATATATTTAAATAGAGGAAAAGGAGGAGTAAGACAGTTTGGACCAGAATTCTCATTTCCTGGGCAGTAAAGTTTCTTTCAAAGTGCCGGAGGCCAACATAGGATTGCCATTTCTTTTACTTTGCCATGTAAGGACATAGTTTAACAATCCACTACCACCGACTTTTAAAAAAAAAAGACTTAATATGAGGTAGACCAAAAAAATTAGGAAAGACAGAATATCAGAATTTAAAAGTTCTTTTGAATTCAGTTTGAGAACCTCACTACTCTGTCTTCATTTTTCTCATTTTGCATCCATGTATTAAACTTCACAGGCTGACCCCTGAGAGTAAGTGGTCTTAGAGGGTTGATAGCACTTGCTGGAAGCGCTGTTCCCACTCAGTCACGTGCCGTGGTCTCTGTTCTCAGTGCGCACCTCTTCGGGTCCCATGTGCACTCGGGAAGCCTGTTCCCAGGGCGGGGAAACGTCGTGGTGCAGGTGACTGGTTCATCAGGGCCAGCAGTAGAGCCGGAAGCAGAATCGAGAGGTCTAAGGAACAGGTGGATGTAAATCCTGTGCAGGACTGGCTGTCTGTGGATTGGCCTTGAATGTTATGGGACGAGAGGGATGAGATACAGGCCATCAGGGTCTGGTCCGCTTTGCCTGCAAGCAGTGGAGCTGCTGTCAAGGGAAATCGACTGCTTGTACTTTATTCTGGAAATTTAGGTCACAGATTTTTGTTCAGAAACCCAGAATGATCGTTTCATACTGGATTAAAATGATAAGCTGTGTGTTTTGTGTTGCTTTTCTGTGATCGTGTGCAGTCTTTTCAGCCATAGCTGAGCTGCCCGAGTGTTTCACTCAAAGAGGGAGTTAGGGAGAGTCGTCCGAATTCCCACTCCGAAGCCCAGACTCTGAAGCTCTCAGTGTCAGCCCCTCCCCTGCC